TTGGCCTGCAAATTGCGTAGATCGTCCTTTCCGAGACCACAAGTCAATTTTATTTTCGTTTCAATAAACACAGGCCCACAATTTAACAAAAATAACTCAGGCATATTCCCTGGCACTAACGTAGATGCTCTGGCTCTAGAAACAATATTTCTAAAGAGATTCACAAAAATGTATTTTATTTATGTATAGTTCATTTGACGACGCTTTTTTCAACAGATAGCGTTGAAGGAGAGGATAATAGTCAACTAAAAAGGAATGTGGGATTAAGCTGGCGTGACTTAATTTAAGGTACTGGCCTGGTATTTTCCTGGAGGGGCTGAGTAAAACTACGAAAACACCCGGTCATGGTAGCTGATCTTCGGGCCGAGATTCGATTACGGGACATCAGGGAGTGTTAAACACTCCACCACGACTTTCGGTGGTTCACGAAAACAAATACTGTTTAATACGAAAGAAAGGTTATTTGCTGTCTGTCACGGAAGTCGGAATGGGATATGGACCTTCATGGTTTATCTTTCTAATGTGGGATGCAAAGCATATTCGCGGGCATAAGGCGACAGTTTCTAGAACTCACCCACGTACCACAAACTATCACAAAATCGCTCATGACGAAAAGCGAGTTAGAAACGAAAAATGTAATGGCATTCTATGCCCTTGTTACAAGAATATCACGGGAAGTGCTCAGCAGGACAAAGGACGATTTCCTTCTACGCGTTTAGACCTGTCAGATAACCCATTAGTGCTCCTATTGATACACAAAAACAATTATAAGAAATTTTGGGGTCCGCAGTGGCCGCGCGGTCTGAGGCCGATCCCTCGTCCAAGGAGTCCTACCAAAATGTCTAATAGATCAAGTTGGGACCCGCAGTGCTCAGGCACTTGAAGAACGGGTCGTCCAAGTATCCAAGTAAGTATAAGAAATTTTAGGTTGACAGCGCATTGCGTGGTGACGTCATAACACAAAATACGTGGAAACATTTTCAGTCATATCTGTTAGTTTCGAACACTTAAAGAGAACCACCTGAAGATGGCCAATGAAGGCCGAAACATGTAATGGATTCTTAATAAACATTGAAACTATAATAAGAATTGTTGTGCAGGCGGACTGTCAATCTAATTATCAACACACAACAGGATTAATCTCTTACAACTATAAGAACTTTGCTATAAGACATCGAATCTGTTTAACATAAAACCTGTTGCCTGGACGTTTGGTCTCCGAGGACCGATGTAAACCACGGAAAACTTTGATCGACTTAGCCAGTCGCAAGCGCGTACTGAACTCTTGCCAGGGACAATAGTCAAGAATTCGGTCCGTACCGCAAAGAGAACATTTCACTTTACAATTACAGAGTTCAACTGGCAAAAATAGGAATTTTTAAGACTCCCGCATTAAAATGAAAATATTTCTGTTTCAATTAATGTATGTGAATTCCTTTGGACCCCTGTTTCATATTTTAATAACAGGTTCCAATGTAATGCATTAGAAATATTATTGATTTTATAATGAATTCTTCTTGGGCTACCAGCCGCGTCAGGAGGTTGAATGGAAAAACCATTAGAAATGGAGAAAGTTATTTTCTCCATTTAAGTAAACGACACGGTCACCATGAAAGCTTGATATCATACGTTATTGATTTTAGTTGAGTAGCCTACCTGTTGCGCCTTTCGAGGTCTGTATCAGATTGTCTGTCTGTCTCCTACATTATACCCAGTGCATCTACTGTCCTTCTGAAGAAACATCACTTGTTTGCCAGTGCTACAGAAGTGCCAATATATAAAATGGGTAATAGGACGGACTGTAATAATTACCATTTACCTTATAATGAATTCTCTCACAGTGGCCGCGCGGTCTGAGGCGTGGGCCTTGTGCCGCTCGGTCACTGGGACCGTGGGTTCGAATCCCACTCAAGCCATGGATGTCTGTCCGCGTTTTTCTGTGTTGTGTTGTCCTGTGTACAGGTAGAGGCCTTGCGACGGGCCGATCCCTCGTCCAAGGAGTCCTACCGAATGTCTATAGATCAAGTTGGGACCCGCAGATGCTCAAGGCACTGAAGAACGAGTCTAAAACACAAAATGTTATCCAACATTCTTCTTAAGTCATTAAAATTATTGGGGCAATTGTTCCACAAGCCGAGTATAAAACCGACTTTCCAATGAATATCCTGCACCACAGAGTGAGCGAGTGAGAACGTAGCAGAGTCTACGTCATCCGTCACGTTTTCATCTTCGTTCACACGTGATACGCACCTGTTGCACAAACGACACGTGTAATTTCACCTACACGTAAATAACCGCAGAGTGTAAACATCAGTCGGAGTTCCAGATTCAAGGTCAGTTTTAGAACTGAGTATCATTTAAAGTTTTCACGTCGGTGAGAACGAAGGTATAGCTGTGTTCCGGGTTCTAGCGCCGTGTAGTCTGGTAGATGTTTACCATGGAGAGAACTGGTACTTCTCAAAAGTTGTGTAAAAGTCTATCAGACTACACTACGCTACATCAGCCACCTCAGCGTTAAAACTGGATCGACTGCCTCGTAAGGACCATCTTAATATTACCGCAAATTTAGAAACTCCTTCATACCTGAAATCTAATCAAGAACGTAAGTTCCTAATGGTGTAATGTTTATATTCAATTTGATGAAAACAGATAAATTTGTTCCGGAATAATAATTAGACAACTTTTTCGTTGGCTTTGATCTGTAGACATTTTGGTAGGACTCCTTGGACGAGGAATGCAGAAGACAGTGTACGTGTCTTCGGACACCGAAGGGCTGGTCTCGGCACTACCTGAATTGGACGTGTCGAGACACAACCCCAAAGGCTGCTTCATTACCACAAATCACCAGCAGCAGCGAAACCATTTATTTGAATGTTTATTCATGATTTGTTGTACGTTTTAACGACACCTAGCACCACTCCATCAGCAGGTCAGTAAAGTGTTTATAAAAATTGTGTGTTAAGCATTTTAAGAAACTGAAGAGTAGAATTTGCTGACATTTCAATCCTTGAAGGCGGTCTAACCGACGGAATTAAGGCAGTGGGGAATTTCGGTTAGAAACTTCGAAAGCGAAGTAGCGATTAAGCAAAATGTCGGTTGGCTACAAATTATCCATGACAGTATTTTGAGTTCGGCGAGCTTCGAAACTAAAATTAGATTCGTTACTTTCAATAAGAAAAAGGATTAACGAAGTCGACTTTTGTTTTGTGATGCCGACCACTCACCCCCATCTAGTGCCGAGGTCAAGAATGAGTAGGAGCTATACCTCCACTCCCCCCCAAGCGCCTAAATGGCGTATTGTGGGACAGCTTTGACCTATTTTAAGATCCAAATTTAACGACAAAGGATATTGAATGTCATCTCCTGTTATTGTAGACAGACCGACGTTACGCGAAATCAGGTTTACCCGTTCTGTCATAGAGTAGAACTTTACCAAATTGTGTGCAAATCCAACCATGGGCACCAGAGACGTTTCGCACTTGTTTTTAGAGAGACGCTCAAACGCGATGGATATAAAACCTAAATTTTCTACCGACTTTTCTCAGGACCACAGTACATTATACCAGTGGTATTCAACCTGGGGTACGTGTACCCCCGGGGTTACGCGAAGACATCTTAGGGGGTACGTGAAATTAAAAAAATATATATATATATTATTTTATGATAAACACTGAATAATCAGTAATGTAATTTATTTAATTTATTTTAGATGTAGATTATATACGATGTATAACTTAAATTATACACCAACAACTTTTGGGGGTACAAAGTTGAAGAGAAATTATATCTGGGGGTACGCGAACAAAAAAGGTTGAATACCCCTGCATTATACTATTGATTTCTTGATTTAGTATTTGTCCTGTTGTAGTCCTAGCACATAAATGTGTTATTCAGTGCAATGTGCGATGTGATGTCACAGATGTATAAACATTGTTGCTTACATATTGTCTGTGTATAGATAAATCTTGGGTACTGACGGCTTTGTACACTGGGGGCCTAATCTTGAACCAAACCCGATACTCGGTATAATACAGCATTGTTACAGTGTTGACAACAGTTAAATAGCCTTAATTCGGGACTGTGTTTCGCCTCTATTAGTCATCTTCAGGCTTTTGATACTTCGTGCAGTTTGAAGGTGACAGACGTACGTTAAATCGAGTAATCTTTGTTAAAATAATAAAACGGAAATACAATCAACGATTGTGTAGATGGAAATAACTTGAAAAATATCACGTATGTCATGAAATTGATTTCATACTAAGCTGTACGTTTCCTTTTCTTTGCTACACGAGTTTATGAGTTTCTCGCGTTATTATACAGAAACCAATGCCGACAAGGACTCTTTTACCAACATGGCGATATTTATCACGATTGATTAGTCAAAGAACTTGAGCTGTGCCACGTTTTCTGTTTCGAAATGTGGGCAGACTGAGAGGACGTAAAGTTCCATACATAAAAGTCAAAAGAAAAAAGATTTCTAGACTTACTGTGGCAATCCGGTATTCAATGCTACTCATCTGAAAAGCATAAAATGTAATTAATTTATTTTGAGTCTTCTTTATGTATAATTTATCAGCCAGGTAAATCAGTACCCTGACTGTATGTGGGCTGACGGTCGGGGTTCAAACTTGACAGGGACAGAAAAATTTTCTTCTACTCTGCGCCTGCTCTGTGGTCCACCCGAGTTCGTGTCCAATGGTGTTTTTTATCCCGGAGGTTGTAGCCCGGTAGAGGGGTGTTGCAACTCATTCACGTCCATCTAGTGCTGAAATTAAGATCGAAGAGTTATATATTCCTCATAAACCCCCCTGGAGCGCTCATCGTGGGGTTGACAACCGGCTTGGGAGCTCATCAACGGAGAGAGAACTCAACCGAATGAATTTTCTGATACGTCGTAGTGATGTTTGATTCTGCGAGTACAGCGCTGTCGTGGTGTCAGGATTGCGTACTTGATGGGTGGTCAATGCTGTTCTGGGGTGTCTTCACTCTCAGCGATTTCTTGATAAGTATTGTCGGCAACTTTACAGTAGTGTGCATTACCATTGGTGAGTTGACTTAACATTTTCTCTTTACGTTAATCTCGTTCCCTTTTCTAACTCTTTGTCGATGGATTTACTTCATATCCTCGGGGCAATTCCCATTCTGCATGACTTCTCTCTTCATCGCATGACACTGTGCTCTGTTAAACACTCAAATCTGTAGTTTACGGACGCGAAACCAAGGCGGTTACGTAATGAATATTCAGTTTCGGTAATCGCCTTCGAACCCGTTTCCAAAATATAAGCACGAATACAAAATGCTTCAATCTTTGAATTAGCATGCACTTCATGAACTGTCACAGTAATAAGCCTCTTGTATTTCTTCGATTTTAATCTTGAAAAGTTATTTTTAAAGCATTCAGTCACTAATTGAATAAAATTTTTGGATATTATCCATCGTCTAGTAAATATAAAACGTAAAACGACGTTTTACGTTTTATATTTACTAGACGATGGATAATATCCAAAAATTTTATTCAATTGACTCTTCACCATCGTCAAGAAGTTTTAGATTTGATATTCAGTCACTAGTTAATTTTATTTCGTTCTTTGTTTCATTTTTCAAGCGACAAATTGTAGTTCTCCACAATTAGGTTAAAAATTTCTTTATAATCACTGTCAAAGAATTTTAGAAAAGCCTTCGAATCCAGATTTCCGTGTGTTCGATTCTCCATCGTTTTCATAACGATTTTATCCGTCCTAGGAGGAACGAACTTACGACAGTTTAAAATTCGGAGGTACTTTATTTACATCCACCATAAAACCAAACCGACCTTTCAATTAAATCGATTTAAAGGGCTTGAAGGTAATAAAACATGTAAATCACCAATGCATAAATTATTCGTTTCTTTACTTACAGATATTCTTAAACGGTTAGAAAGCCTTGTTTTGAAGTTAACTTTCATGGTTTAAGTTATGTTAATGGTTAAAGAAACTATTAAATTAAAATTAATTAAACAGTTTAATACTTTTCATTAACTTTTTCTACTTTGCGAAGAAGTTCCTCTTGCTACTAGAGTAACGTAACACATTGTTTTGTCAAAATCTACAAACTTTTATGTATTTTTATTTCTTTTTTTGTCACAGTTATATTTTTGGTCCTTCTGGTGTTCATAACATACACAGGACAGTTATCTTCAAAACATGTTCTCTTTTTCGATGTATAACCCTTTTGAAAAATCTCTAAGCTTCGTAGATTCGTGGGATAAAATCTTTCTCGACATCCAAGTTCCACGATTCTTGAAGAAACACTTGCCCCCCCCCCCAATTGTCGTGGTATAAAACTCAAAATGTCTACCAGAAACATGCGGAAAAAATAACACACGTGATTGATAATTTTATTCTTGAACCCGGGCGGTTAAATTTTGAAGATGCTTACATGTATTCAAAAAATCTAGATCAATTAAATTATCAAAGAATATAAGATTTTTTATTGTAATACAACATTTTCGAGAGACAATGAAAATATTAACCCAGTAGATAACACCCAAGATAATTCATTTGCTGTTTTTGATGAATTTGTACTCGAAAATCAAAACAACGTAAGGAACTATTTTACAAGAGGACGTCACAGAGGCTAAAAAGGTTTTCAAAGTTTCCCAAGCAATCCGTTAGGGATAAAGGAAACTTTTTCTGTTTATTCAGACAATAAATCACTAATTTGAGACAAGTTTATGAAGAATTTGTAGGAGAAAATATGACATTTGAAGAACTAAAATCTATGTATAGTAAATGCTGGGAAGAAGACAGGTTTCTAATATTTGACATTACGAGAAAGAGAATAATATTGAAGTACGGAAACAAAATTAATTTTTTTATTTAAGTAACTTTTATTTTTATGGATATTTATCCATAAAAATATATTTTTATATATACTTATACAAAAAGTAAAGCTGTCCCACTATAAGCCATGTAGGTGCTTATAGCTCCTACTCATTCTTAATTTTGGCACTAGATGGGGTGAGTGGTCGGCAACACGCCCCGGCCAGCTTTATCCCCGAGAAAGGACCCAGGTACCCATTGGATAAGAGGCTGGGTGGTCCCCAGAGCCGGTCTGGACGCAGAGGCTAGAGGAAGAATCCTTTGCCCCGGTCAGGTATCGAACCCCTGGTCGTCCAATTCGTATTAAATCACTGTACAGGAAACTTTCGGTTTACGAACGTTCGATTTAAAGGTGGCGACTGACTTGTAACATTTGCCTGTAATTTAACGTGTTACAAATCGAGCATTACACAAGGGAAGACAGCGAACGGACCCGCTCGATGCGAGCCGCTCACGCTCGCGGGCGCTCCATCGTGTTGTCGGTTTTTTCGCGAATCCCTTTGAGTGTTACATTACAGTCAGTCAGTCAGTCGAGCGGCGTCGTAACGAGCATTCACGAGTTCTTTAGATAAGAGTAGCGTATTAAATGAAACAAAGATAACACAACCTCCATGTCCGACATATTGAATGAAATGAATGGAGCACACACGAGCACAGTCGAGCCGAGCGTTCAAAACGAGCATTCGATGCGCCTCACCAGTTGTGGTGTAATGTAACATGCTCGCC